AATATATTTTATAACATAAAAGTATGTATCTTCATTTTTTTTTTTTTTTTTGTTTTTTGTAATAAATATGAAGATTCTGTGGTATGTTTCAAAACCCGCCTATCCCAATAAAAACAAAGTTCGAGTGTATTTCAGAATACAAACATTACTGTTTATTAGAGTTTTTCTTTTGTTTGTTTTTGTATTTTTGTGTGTTTAAAATTCACGTACCGATCCTTCAAAGAATTCAATGCCATTACTATTCACAATTTTATAGAATCCGTGATCAGCCACAAATGTGATTTCAGTTGGAGGCAGGATAGGAGCAGATAACAGAGACACATTAACATCTAAAAATGTATACATTATTATGTATATTATAAATTATTTATTAATTTTAAGGACGCGAAGGATACAAAATATATATACTGTGTTATATATTTAGCTGATATCCAAAACGTTAATTTATATATATATATATATATATATATATAAATTGTTTTAAGGACAGACCTGCCTTGTGTTTAATACATACCTGTTGCGGCAGCAGCTTCAGTACCCTTTTCGTTGACTTCAATAATTGCCTTATGCAAAACCTTCGACACTTGCAATCCTTCCTTTGATATGATCATTTTATCCAATTCCGCATCAGTAAACAATCGCTCTATACCCAACTAAAGAAAAATGTGTACATCATCATTGCAATCAGGAACAGTATTTAATTAACATAGTTCATCATAGTTACCCTCTCTAAAATCTCACTCAATTCAATTTTGTATTCAGTTTTAAATTTGGGCATTTCCACTTGAATCATTGTCTCAGCCATATTATCTCTTAATTCTTGTAGAGAATATGATTGCAATTTAATCCTTAGATCATCCAAGCCATCACGAGAATTCGGCAAAATTACAATCATATAAAGATCGGTATTTTTGTAAGGCATTGCCACAGCAGTAGCATCTAATTGGTCTATTTTGCCATAACGGAATTGTCCAAACGTGAGCATCATTTCCACGCTAACGTAATTTGTTGCATCCACATAGAAGTTTTTTTGACGTGTGACAGGTACAAAGAATGGCTGTAACCATTCGCCTTTAAAGTAAATTGCATTGAGCAGTACCACACGTGTGTTTTCATCCAAATCGTCGGCACTAATTAGATCTGTAATCAAGTGATTGGTTTTTGCTTCAACCCAAGAGTTGATTTTTTCGGCTGTTTTAATATTTTGTGTAAAATTCACATTTTCTGCTGATGCGAAGAAATTTTTCTCAAGCAACTCATTGAATTGATCGCGAAGTTCTAGTTGGTCCTTAATATATATTTTATTGGCCATTTAAAGAAAATTAGCATTCGGATAGGATAAAAGGAACTTTTCGAAATAGTTGGCCAACTGTTCTCCGTTATTAAATTTTGAATTTAGAACATTGTCAATTTCCTGTGCTGTTTGGCCGGTAGCACCTAAACGCATCATTGCCAGGCTTGTCTCAATTGAGAATGGTGAAAATAGTATGTTTTTCTGTCCACTATTTTTTGCTATGCTCGAGTAGAGTTTCGTTCCAAAGGCTTGCAAACTCTTCGATAGATCCCTTAATTGCGAGTCCTCATTGGAGGTGGTAGTTGGCGAGGCAACTATCACCGTTACAATCATAACACATATTATGGCTATGAAATGAGTATTAACTGAAATGAGAATATTATAAAAAATATTTTTTTATGGTTGATTTACTGTACTTACCACCCATGGTAATTGTTTATGAATTTTATTTAAACCCAGAAAAAATACTATTACTGAAACCTCCGCCTTATCCGTGACCAAACTCTGAATGTGAGGATGGAAGAATAAGGCTTCTTTATATACACACGTATCAGACACAGCCTCAGACTATGACATCGAAATGTTTGTCTCTAGCATTGGTTTGCACCAAAGGAAACCAAAGGAATAAAAAAAAGAACGACAAAGGATGATAGATAAAAGTTTGTGGTACATAAAATTAATGGAAATTCTATGCCAGTTTACTAGTTGCCAGACGGGATTTTCGTTACTTAAAAAAACTCACAAATGTCCATAGGGGCAGAGTCAGCCATCAAGGGGAATAACAATTCTTAAACTTGTTTTAGTTTTTGTTGTGATGACCAAAACAGGATCATGTAAACATTGCAGATTGGCCGGCCGGTAGCATTCGTTTGTATTTTTATTCGGGTTCTAGGGCAATACACAAATTTATGAAAACCTGTATATGCGCTTGTTACGTAGTGAGCATACTTATGTGATGCTAGTTGAGGAAATAGTCACTGGTAGTCAGTGTTCGAAAATAAACTGTATGGTACAGTAAAAATGTTTTCTATAGCGAGCACATCAATATGGTAAGACCTGCGATGGATCATACTGATGAAATTGCGCCACTCAACACAGTTAAATAAATTTGCAGTAAATTCGATAAAAATGTACTTTGCTATACGAGGATCGAAACCGATCAAAAATCTGTATAACCTGTAATGAACACGGTTAGAATTTTGATCGAATGCCTCAATAACTTGAAGCATTTCAGCCCTTGGTTATGTGCAGGACTACGGGAGCCATTGAAGAGGTAGCTGCAGTCGCAATGGGGGTGGGGGGGTCTTGTCCTTCTACAACCAAGTTCATGTTGGTATTAGCATAGACTCCCTAAAAAACAACATATATATATATATATATATGCAAAACTGTAAGTGGACCAGTAAAAGGAAATCTAGACAAAATTACCTTTAAACCCCATAATACAAAACTAACAAAAATGAAATAATTAAAAACTAGTAAGATGTTTGTCTTAATCGATCGCTGTATTCATATTTTGACTTCTCAGATGTTGCGAGAAGCAGCCTCTACACCCTCACCAACCTATGTCCATGATGGCTTATTTTTCTATGGACCCCAAATTTAGTTCACATCCAATCTATATAGACATCCCTAATAAGATAACGCCAGCCTGATAACTCACAAATTAATTTTGAATTCAAAAATTATATTTATTCACATTATAAATAAATTTACCACTAATTATAAACCTCCACCAAAAGGTGAAGTGTATATTGAACTTGTCATTCCATTTCCAACACCTCAAAATATTAACCGGAGCTCCATAATGTATATATATTCTTGATCAGAATTCTACGTCGATTTAGCCATGTCCGTCTGTTTGTCTGTCCGTCCGTCAATATGGACGATAAAGCTTCGATATGTTGCACATATATTACTCCTAGTCCAGATATAATAATTCGGTATTTTTGGGAGTTTGGCCACCCTTTCTATCTGAATTAGATCCAATCTGATATTTTGGCAGTAAATCTCCCTACCAAAAAATATCAATATTAATTCATGTTTCGAAGTAGCACTCCCCTATAATTCAATATTTTTTGGAGTTTGTGCACGCTTTTTACTCCAATTGTCTGAAATTCGGTACTTTGAGTGCACATTCAGTTTTGGTAACATTGGACACGTGTTCCAAGCGAATTAGCTCCAATCTGATATTTGGATCATCGTTGGATCCACATTTTTTGGAAAGTACTAGGAAATACCTATGTAAAATTGATAATATTTTTTGATTTGTATACCCCTCAACACACTGTCGTACTGGGTATTATGTCTTTGTGCATATGTTTGTAACAGTCAAAAGGAAACGAGATAGACCCATTGTTCCTTTTGAGAATATGCATAGAATCACTTTCTGAGTCGATTTATAAATGTCCGCCTGTCCATGTTAAATTGTAAATAAAATCCAGGTCGCATTTATTATCCGAATGAGATAAAATTTGGCATACATCATAGATTTGGCCCAAGGAAATTGGGAAAATCGGTTCGGTTCCATACATAATTTCGTCCGATTTTAAGTAAATTGTGCACAAAAGAGTCAAATTATGTGACAAGTTTTATTGAAATCGGTTCAGATTTAGATATAGGTCTCATATATATCGAAAATTGGGGGCCATGAACCGATAAAGCCCATCTTCGAACTTGACCTTCAGACAAAGGCGACTCTATGTAAAATGTTGGCGATCTATCTCAATTCGTTTAGAGGGTAGAGTGATTACAACAGACGGATATATAAATATGCTGATCACGATTATATAAACGGTCGGAAATGATTATTTTGATGATTTATAAACGGAAAAACTAACTTAATATACCCTCCATACTATAGTGGATGGTATAAAAAGGTACAAATGTACCCGGTTATTGGTCCTTCAAAAATGCGAGGTCTGTAAGGATGCATCTCTTGAATATACCCCAAGTGGTAAAGGGTATCATATAGTCACCCCGCCCGACTTTTCTACTTTCCTTACTTACCTTATACTGATTTGTTCCTGTTCAGTAACTTATACTAAAATTTTGTGGAGAATATTTTGTGTCCTTTATCCATCCTTCTAAAACTACATCTAGCTGAAAAATTTGGCAGTAATTCGGAATAAAATCGGTTACAGTCCTAAAATGAGTTTTCAATTTTTTTTTAGATTTTTGAGTTTTGGTCTATTCTGAAACCTATAGATTTATTATAGAATATGCTGGTCAAAGAAGAAAATTTTTTGAAAGATGATTTATAACCTTGAAATGTGAAATAAAAATATTTACATGAAATGACGGTCCATTAAAGAGATGAAAATTGTGATTAAAATGAACGTGAAAATTATTAGTAATTATAAGATAATCATCAAAAATAAAAGTCATAAATATGATTTTTTTCCAAAACATTTGAGTTCCACAACCTAGTGCCAAGCAGTGCCAGAAGATATTTTAATGGTTATACCACCAATCGACGCCATAATATGTTTTCTATCCAGAATTTTGCGATCGTCTGCGACCGTTCATAAACTTAAGAGTTATTGTCAATATTTTAAAAAAAGCCTTGAAAATTGCAATGTAAACAAGTGAAAAAGCTTTAAGTTCGGTTTTGGATACCCTCCACCATAGAAATACTGAAAAATTTTTGAAATGAAAATATAGGGAACATACATATAACTACAATTCCACCAATCGATTGTTGTAAATCAAATAGACATTTCAGCAATTTCAATGGGGGGTTTTCCCTAAAATCTCAAAACCCTAAAATGTTGACATAGAAGGGTGAAACATGTGTTTAAGATCCTGAAAATACTAAAATTTTTGAGGGCAAATTTATAAGAGGCATACTAAAGCGGGACCAATATTGACAACATTGTGTAGGAATTAGCGTATACTTGGTGTTTTCATTACATAAGAGGTTATGCCTAATTAAGCTTAAGCCGATATAGCTTAAGTTCCAAGCTAATAATTTAGTTTTGACTCCCAATACCGTGCATCACGCTAAATATTAAATATGTAGGATGTTTTATATAGGACCTGGGCCTAAATGCGGGTCGATATAGTATATTCTCAAACTTCACGTTCTAGTTTTTATATCGAGATCCTCCAATAGAAAAATGATTAAAACATATGGCTTAATTGACTAAATCGTTTTAGAATTCCATACTATGCAGTGTATGAACTGAAAATTTCGTCTACAGAATATCCCCCTTTCTATGGTGGAATGCAGCTATATGGGGATTACCCCAACACACGGAACAAATTATCTAACTATTTTAATATAAAAAAGGGGGTTATATGGGGACTACCCCTAAAATGGGGTGAATATTAATAAATTTTGGTAGGGAGATTTGTTACCATATACTACTACAAAATACCAAATTACAGCAAATTCGGTTGAAAAACGCAAATTCAGCGAATTTGGTTGGAAAACGCGCTCACGAATTTCAAAATACCGAAAATTGGGGTGTACCCTTATGTGGGGGCTATGAGAAAAAGTGGACCGATGTTTAAAATTTTTTGTGTAGATATTTGGTACTAAATATGAACCCAAAGTACCAAATTTCAGCGAATTCGGTTGGAAAACGCGCCCAAGAATTTCAAAATACCGAAAATTGGGGGGTATTCTTATATGGGGGCTATCCGAAAAAATGAACCTATATTTATAATTTTTGCTGAATTCGGCTGAAAAACGAGATCAAGAACCACAAAATACCGAAAATTGGGGGATACCCTTATATGGGAGCTTTGCCTAAACGTGGACCGATATATCCCATCTTTGAACTTGACCTGCATTCAGACAAAAGACGACTCTATGCAAAATTTTGGCGATCTATCTCAATTCGTTTAGACGCTAGAGTGATTACAACAGACGGACAGACGGAAATGCTTAAATCGTCATAGAATTTTACGCTGATCAAGAATATATATACTTTGTAGGGTCGGAAATGATTATTTCGATGCGTTACAAACGGAAAAACAAAACTAATATACCCTCCATACTATGGTGGAGGGTATAAAAACTAATAAATAATTAAATAATAATAAGTTTGGGCACGCACATAATCTCACCAAACAAGATACATTTTTGTTCACAATTTAGGGTAACACCCACATAAGGTTGACCCCCAATTTTGTTTTTCTGAACATATGAGAATTTAGTATTAGTACTAATAGTACAAAGATTCTGCAATAACGTTCGAAATTATCATTTTTCACCCATTTCAAAAAACAAAAAATGATTTTCAGATTGCAAACGCCACTATTTTTTAGAGCCTTTTGTTTTTTTATTTTCTTTTTTAATTTTTGCTTTTTTAAAATTCCTTTTGCGATCCTTCAAAGTAAACAGTACCATAAGTATCGATTATCTTATAGAAGAAGCCATGATCCACCACAAATTCGATTACAGAAGAAAGGGCAACTCCAATAGAACCTAAAGATAAGAAAGAATAAAATAATATTGGAATATTATATTAAAAAAAAAAAAACAATAATGTCATATATGTATGTTCGAGAAAAATAAGGACACAACATAATAAATATATATATATATTTTTTTCAAGAACTCCGGAGAAAACTCAGACATGGATGGATTTATTAAAAGACATGTGCGAAATTGTTAAAGAATACTCTTTTTCGGGCCATCACACGCATGGATTTATTAAAGATTATTTTTGTATGTACTCAAGTTGATTATTAATACATACCTGTAGATGCAGCAGCCTCAGTACCCTTTTCGCTCACTTCAATGAATGCCTTATGCAGAACTTTCGACACTTCAATTGGTTCAGGGGTATTTAACATATTCATCAACTCTGCATCATGGGAGAACAAACGTTCTATACCCAACTGCAGAAAAAATGCACATCATCTAACATTTTTTTCATTATTCAATTTATCATATTTTACCTGTTGTAAAATCTCTTTCAATTCAATTGTGTATTCAGCTTTAAATTTGGGCATAGCGACATCAACCAATACCGGAAACATGCTACCTCTTAATTCCTCCAATGAATATGAATTCAATTTATTCCTTAGATCTTCTAAACCATAACGAGAATTCGGCAAAATTATAAGCATACGCAGATCGGAATTTTTGTAAGGCAATTCCAAAGCGGCAGCATCTAATTGCTCACTTCTGCCATAGCGGAAGAGGCCTCTCATATGCATCATGTCCACATTAACAATATCTGTTTCATCCACATAGAATTTTTGTTGGCGTGTGGCATTTTCTGGGAATCCCTGTGCCCATTCATCTTTGAAATAAATTGCATTGAGCAATACCAATCGTGTGTATTTATCCAAATCGTCGGCACCGATAAGATCTGTTATCAAGTTATTGGTTTTTGCCGCAACCCAAGAGTTGATTACTTCGGCTGCTTTAATATTTTGTGTAAAATTCACATTTTCTGCTGATGCGTAGTAAAAGTTCGTAAGTATGTCACTGAATTGATTGCGGAGTTCAACATTTTCCGCTACATAGATTTTATTGGCCATTTTCAGATAATTACTCTCCTCAAAGACTGAAAGGATTTTTTTGAAATTTGTTTCCAACTTTTCGTTATTGTTGAAATTAAAACGTACAGCATTGTCAATTTCTTCTGCTGTCTGTCCGCTGGCACCCATACGAATCATGGCCAGGATGGTCTCAATTGAGAATGGTGAAAATATAATGTTTTTCTGATCATCACGTTTTGCTAATTTCGAGTAGAGTTTCGTTGCAAAGTCCTGCAAACCCTTGCCAGTGGAGTCGGTGGTAGAAGTTGGTGTGGCAACTATCACCGATAATATCATAAAACAAATTGTGGCTATGAAATGAGTATTAGCTGGAATAAGAGCGTAATAAAAGGATAGAGTGTTTTTTTTTTTAATTTCAAAAATATTTTTTGTATACTTATCAATATTGTATATTAAACTATATTTTCAATAAAAAAATTGCCCAACGATCCATATATTTTACCACCAATAACAATATTGCTTATAAATATTTTACTATACTCACCACCCATTATAATTGCTTATGATTTTTATTTAAACCAAGAAGAAATATAAATACTGAAACCTCCGTCTTATATGTCACCGAACTGCGTATGTGATGAAGCAAGAACAGCACTTCCTTATATACTCACAGATCAGACAAAGCCACAAACTAAGGTATCGAAATATTTGCCAGTTGCCTATTCCATCAACATTTGTTTGCAGCAAACAAACCTAAGGAAGAAAGAGGACGACAACGGATGGAATAGAACATTGCTACTTTACTAGTTGCAGAACAAGATTTTCCATCTTGCATGGTATAAAAATAAACATATTATATGGCGATAAACACTTACAGATATCTGCAGGACCGGGTCAGCAAACAAGGGCTATCACAATTTCTATACCCTTCACCACACTGTGGTACAGGGTATTATGTCTTTGTGCACATGTTTGTAACAGACAAAAATAATCGAGATAGACCCATGGTTCCTTTTGAGAATATGCATAGAATCACTTTCTGAGTCGATTTATGCATGTCCGTCCGTCTGTCCGTCTGTCCATGTTAAATTGTAAACAAAGTACAGGTCGCATTTATGATCCGAATTGAATGAAATTTGGCACAGCTCATTTGTTTGGCCCAAGGACGAACACTATTGAAATTGGGAAAAATCGGTCCAGATTTAGATATAGCTCCCATATATATTTTCGTCCGATTTAAGGTAAAGTAGGTACCAAAGTCCCTAAATATATTTCGATTTGCACGGAATTTGGTACAGCCTACGGAATTAGGTCTAGAATGTTGTGTGCCAAGTTTCGTGAAAATCGGTTCAGATTTAGATATAGATCCCATATATAGTTTCGCCCGATTTTAGGTAAATTGTGCACCAAAGTCCCTGAAAATCATTTGATTTACACGAATTTTGGCATAGCGTATTGAATTAAGTCTAGAATGACGTGTGCTAAGTTTCGTGAAAATCGGTTCAGATTTAGATATAGCTCCCATATATAGTTTCACCCTATTTAAGGTAAATGGTGTACTAAAGTCCCTATATAAGCTTTCGATTTGCACGAAATTTGGCATAGCCTACTGAATAAGGTCTAGAATGATGTGTGCTAAGTTTCGTGAAAATCGATTCAGATTTAGATATAGCTCCCATATATATTTTCGTCCGATTTCAGGTGAATGGTGTACCAAAGTCCCTATATATCCATCGATTTGCACGAAATTTGGCATAGCGTACTTAATTAAGTCTAGAACGATGTGTTCTAAATTTCGTGAAAATCGGTTCAGATTTAAATATAGCTCCCATATATAGTTTCGCCCGATTTAAGGTAAATGATGTACCAAAGTCCCTATATATCTTTCGTCCGATTTTAGGTAAATGGTGCACCAAAGTCTCTGAAAGTCGTTCGATTTGCACGAAATTTGGCAAATCGGTTGAGTTTCATGTAAATCGGTTCAGATTTAGATATAGCTCACATATATAGTTTCGTCTGACTTTAGGTAAATGGTGCACCAAAGTCCCTATATATCTTTCGATTTGCACGAAATTTGGCAGAGCGTAATGCATAATATCTATAATGATGTGTGTTAAGTTTCCTGAAATCGGTTCAGATTTAGATATAGCTCCCATATATATTTACGTCCGATTTAATGTAAATGGTCCACAAAAGTCCATATATATCTTTCGATTTGCACGAAATTCAATTAAGCCTAGAATGATATGTGCTAAGTTTCGTGAAAATCGGTTCAGATTTAGATATAGCTCACATATATAGTTTCGTCCGATTTTACGTAAATGGTGCACCAAAGTCCCTATATATCATTCGATTTGCACGAAATTTGGCAGTGCGTTCTGTATTAAGTGCAGAATGATGTGTGCTGAGTTTGGTGAAAATCGGTTCAGATTTTGATATAGCTCCCATATATAGTGTCGTCCGATTTTATATAAATGTCCCTATATGTCATTAGGTCTAGAATAATGTGTGTTAAGTTTCCTAAAAATCGGTTCAGATTTAGATATAGCTCCGATATATATTTTCGTCTGATTTAATGTAAATGGTGCACCAAAGTCCCTATATATCTTTCTATTTGCACGAAATTTGGCACAGCGTAATGAATTAGGTCTAGAATGATGTGTGTTAAGTTTCGTAAAAAATCGGTTCAGATTTAGATATAGATATTAGTCCCTTAATATCTTTCGGTTTGCACAAAATTTGGCGCAGTGTAATGAATTAGGTCTAGAATGATGTGTTTTAAGTTTCCTGAAATCCTTGAAATCGGTTCAGATTTACATATAGCTTCTATATCTGACCAAATGAAAAATTTAGTATAGGTTGCAGGATGACGTGTTTATGAATCCACTTTCATTTTACTGGTGCTTTAAAAATGCGACGTCTGTTAGGATTCATCTGTCGAATATACCCAAAGTGGTGAAGGGTATCATATAGTCGGCCCCGTCTGACTTTACTACTTTCCTCCTATTTTTTGTTTTTATTTGTCTTGCTGACCAAAACAGGATTGGCCGGCCGGCAGCATTCGTTTTTATTTTTATTCGAGTTCAAGGGCAATGTGCAGATTCATTCCCCCGACAAACAATTCTAGTCAGAAACGACGTAGACTCCAAATAATTTTTTCACGATTTTTTTTGTCACCACCACCCTCCCTGAAATGAAAATCTGTATACACACTTGATATTTAGTGAGCGTTGATATGAGATCTTAGTTTAGGAAATAGTCACTGGTAGTCAGTGTTCGAAAACAAACAATATGGTACAATAACATAAAAACAATTTTTTATTTTTATTATTGCCAGCATTTTTCCGAAACATGTGGGAAACAAGCTTTTTGGTATAGTTAACAACTCCTGCTTGGATTTTAATTCCTTTCAATTTAAATTGACACACATCATTAAGCAGCACATCGGGCGAAAATATAAATGGGAGCTAATTCTAAACGTGAAATGATTTCTACAAAGCTCTATGTATATCATTCTAAGCCCATTTTGAAACATTGTGCATAATTGTATCACAATCGGAGATTTGCATGAATTCACACAATTCGTACTGCTCAATGCAATTTATTTCAAATGTGAATGGGTATGACAGTTCATAGGGCATCTCACATGACCATATGGACCTAACTATGATTCATTTTGCATCTTACACAAACATATGCTAACGACATAATACCTTGTACCACTGTGTGATGCAGGGTATCAAATATTTTCCCTCTTTCCCAATGTAGAATTTTAGAAGCCAAACGCTACTATATATTAAGATTTTTTTTTTTGGTTTTTATTTTTGTTTTTTAAAATTCATTTTGTGATCCTTCAAAGAATACAATACCATCAGTATTCAAAATTTTATAGAAGAAGCCGTGATCAACCACAAACTCGTTTACAAATTCAGGTAAACCCGGTCGAGGAAGGCCAATACCAATAGTACCTAAAAAAGATAACATAAAATAATTTTAGAATTAAAAAAATTTAATAAACAATACATAAATAAAAGACCAGTAAGCGGAGCAGTTAGTAGGACAGGTCGACCATATGATACCCTACACTACAACTTTTTTCGGATATGTATTCCGAGCATGGGCAATATTTCGCGATATTTGCGCCCTCTTGGTCGATTAGAGATCAACGGCTACAATTGTTCACCCTGATTAACGGATATTACCGAAAACAATAGGGGTCTTCTTAGACCAGAACACTTCTTATATGCATAACAGTGACCCGTGTCGTGTTTGCAAATTATAATGGACAGACGGACGAAAGGGGAACAAATGGCTAGATTGACTCAGCTAATCCAGATATGACGATCGGTATACTTAAAGGTGGATCAGGACCAATATTTCACCTCATTACATTGATGTTTATATAGAATATTTGTTCAAGGACTCAATGAGATTGAGGTGAGTGGATATTTAAGACTATTTTTTAGGGACTCAGGAAATGGTAGTTTTTTTTTTTTTTTTGAAGTAGATTTTTTATATTTCATGGAGATTTTAAACATATTTTTCAGAATATTTTTCTGGCACACATACAATCGTTTAATTTTTTACGAAAGTTTTTGTCAATAATTATTTTAAAGAATATTTTTTCGAGGACTCCGGCAAGCATTTTTTTAATATTGTTTTAAGGACACAGTCAACCGAGCATTAATATATATATATATATATATATATATGCTAGTATAGTATAGAAGCACAATGGCAAAGAATTGCCCACTCCCTACAAACTGCAGCAAAAAGAACTATTGGATACCAAAAGCCACCACCAAGAAATCCATGGTACGATCAGGAGTGTCTTAGAAAAGAAAGGGAGAGAGGAGAAACGTGTTTTCAGAAAAAAGAAGAAAGAACAAGAGAAACGTGAGCGTGAGCAAATCGAGATGTACAGGAGTCAGAATGAAGTCCGGACATTTTACCAACGAGTAAAACACCAAACCGAAGGCTTTGGTGCAGGCACATCCTCCTGTAGATATGAAGAAGGAAACCTAGTGACAGATACAGACAGCGTGTTGAGGATCTGGAAGGAGCATTTCGAAAAGCTTCTAGTATCAAATAGTGGCGATGAAGAAGATACCTCAGAACCAATAAGAGATGATGGTATAGAGTGTATACCACCTAGCCAAGATGAGGTCATAAAAGCAATTAATCGGCTCAAGAACAACAAAGCAGCAGGAGCCGAACTATTCAAGACTGGTGGCCAGATGCTGGTCAGGAGCACGCACCAGCTGATTAGCACAATTTGGCTAGATGAATGCATGCCCAATATTTGGAATCTCAGCATCCTGTGTCCCGTGCACAAAAAAGGAGACAAGACGATATGTGCCAACTATAGAGGAATAAGTTTCCTTCCCATCGCATATAAAGTGCTATCCAGTGTGCTGTGTGAACGATTGAAGCCAATGGTCAATGACATCATCGGACCATACCAATGCGGCTTCAGACCTGGCAAATGCACCATTGACCAGATTTTCACTCTGCGCCAAATCCTGGAAAAGACCCACGAAAAACACATCGACACATACCACCTATTTGTCGATTATAAAGCCGCATTCGATCAGCCCTATCCGTTCAGAGGTGTTTAAAGGCATGTCTGCGTTCGGCATTCCTGCAAAATTAATACGGCTATGCAGGATAACTTTAAGTGGCACAAGGTCAGCAGTTAAAGTAGGAAAGGACCTATCGGAGCCCTTCAATACCGAACGAGGATTCAGACAAGATGACAGTTTGTCGTGTGATCTTTTTAACATCCTACTGGAAAAGGTCATACGAGTCGCAAATGGCACTCTGTACACCAAACAACACATGTTACTCGCCTACGCCGATGACATCGATATAATGGGTCGAACATTGCGATCGGTAACAGCCACCTTTGAACAAATTGAAAAGGAGTCTGCCAAAGTGGGTCTTGCAGTAAACGGCGAGAAGAAGACAAGCTGATGGTATCAACGCGCAAGACGTCCAGTAGACTCGGACTAACTGTGGAACTTGAGAACTACAGCTTCGAGGTAGTTAAAGACTTTATATACCTTGGTACCGCCATAAATAAAACGAATGACATCAGTTTTGAAATTCGGAGAAGGATTGTGATGGCAAACAGATGCTACTATGGTCAAAGTAAGCAGTTTAAAAACAAGGCCACCTCCCGCCAGACAAAACTCAGACTTTACAAGACGCTGATACTACCCGTGCTATTATATGGATCAGAAGCATGGGTACTTGCGCAAGCAGATGAGGCAGTTCTTAGGGTGTTTGAGAGAAAAAGGCCACGAATTAGATGAATAGACCAAGTAGAAAACAACATCTTGGAACGTGGTCTTCCAAACTGGTGGACTTGCGCACAAGACCGACGCGCTTGGAAATCTTTTTTAAGCTCGGCTTATGGATCAACCGTTCTGTAACAAGCCAGCTAAGTAAGTAATATATATATATATATATTTTTTTTTTTTTCAAGAATATTTTTAAGGATTTTGACATGCGATTATTTTTAAAGAGCATTTCAACGCCCGCCAGAAGTGTAGATTTATTAAATAATTATTGTTTGTTAAATACTTATACCGGAATTTAATACATACCTGTTGATGCAGCAGCCTCAGTACCCTTTTCGTTGACGTCAATAAATGCCTTATGCAGAACTTTCGATACTTCAATTGTTTCAGATGTATTTATCAGCTCTCCAAATTCCGCCTCTTTAGAGAACATGCGTTCCATACCCAACTGTAGTAAGAAAAAAACATACAACATCAAAAATGTATTTAACTCTACAATTTTTCATACTTACCCTTTGTAAAACATCTTTCAATTCAATTGTGAATTCAGCTTTAAATTTGGGCATTTCCACTTGAACAGTTGTCTCAAACATATTATCTCTTAACTCTTGTAGAGATAATGATTTCAATTTAATCCTCAAATTTTCTAAACCATCACGAGAATTCGGCAAAATTACCAACATATAAAGATCGGAATTTTTGTAAGGCATTTCCAAAGCGGTGGCATCTAATTGGTCTATTTCGCCATAGCGGAATTTTCCCTTCATATGCATCATGTCCACATTAACACTGTTTGTTGCATCTATATAGAATTTTTGTTGGCGTGTGGCATGCTCGGGAAATCCCTGTGCCCATTCACCTTTGAAATAAATTGCATTCAGCAGCACCATTCGCGTTGTTCGATCCAAATCATCGGCAGCGATTAGATTTTTAATCAATTGATTGGTTTTTGCTGCAACCCAAGAGTTCATGGTCTCAGCTGCTTTAATATTTTGTGTAAAATTCACATTTTCCGCTGACGTGAAGAAATTTTTCGTAAGCAATCCATTGTATTGATCCTGGAGTTTAAAAGTTTCCATAATATATATTTTATTGGCCATTTGTAGGAAATTACTATTTTGATATTTTGAGAGGATTTTTCGGAAATAGTTGGACAACTTTTCGGCATTGTTAAATTTTAAATTTAGACTATTGTCAATTTCTTCTGCTGTCGGACCGGTAGCACCCAAACGCACCATCGCCAGACTGGTCTCAATTGAGAATGGTGAAAATATAATGTTTTTCTCAGCACTTCGTTTGGCTATTTTCGAGTAGAGTTTCGTTCCAAAGCTATCCAAACTCTTGGATAAATCCCTTAATTGCAAATCATCATTGGAAATGGTTGTTGGTGTGGCAACCACCACCGTTAATATCATAACACAAATTGTGGCTATGAAATGATAATCAACTGCGAAAAAAAATTAAAATATTTTTTTATTTTTTTATTACTTTAAAGAATATTTCCAATACCCAATAATTAGCTGTATTATTTAATTTATTTTCTACATCCAATACTTGCATGAATTTGATTTTTTTCAGTTGTTACATTTGATACTTACCGCCCATTGTAAATACAATTATTAAAATCTCAGCCGGACAGCGAATGTGATGCGAGGCAAGAACAACGTTTTATATTTATGCGCCCTGATCAGACTGAGCCACAGACTGAGATATCGAAATGTTTGTTAGGTATCAGTTGGCTATTTTCAAACCAAACCACGAGAGAGAGAAAAAACACACAGCAGCAGATGATACAGAACTGTGTCTGTGGTACTTCACATCGATGGGAATTCATTATCACCTTACTCTTTACGAGATTTTATTTTCTATAAAAAAAATAAACAAAATAATGCGATAACCATATTGCCGTCAATACTCACTCACAAATTTCTTCTGCAGAGCAGAGTCAACAACCGAGGGGATTCACAATTTTTACATTTTATTATTTTGTTTGTGATGACAAGATCTTTTAAGCATTGCAGATTATTGAACGGCCTACAGTAGGATAACACATATTTTATGACAATGCATTATGGGCCAGAGATCACATGTTTGGTACAATAAGGGTTTCGTGGACGCTGATTACGAATCTGGAAGAAGAAAAAAATTAAAAGGTGAATGGAAAGTTATGCTAACCTTTTTTAAAATTTGAATTAATAAAATCAGTTTGTAGAGCTATGGTCACTGATTACAAATATGAAATCAGAATAATATATAATACCAACATAGCATAAAATCATTAATTTTGTATATTACGGACATAAAACTATGGGATACCATAATAAAATTTGAAACATAGCCGATTTGTTTTAAAAATGTGGTCAAAATCCCAAAGTATCGAATAATGGGGGTACGTTTATATGGGGCCAACCGAAACTTAAGGGAACCCCCCCCCCCCCCCCCCCCCCCCCCCCCCCCCCCCCATTTTCGATTTTAATTTTTCAAGATTTTCAATGGGCTGGTAAATGAATACAATTGCTTGTTAAGGTTTGTAACTTTGCACATATATAATTGAAGATTTAAAAGAGAAGAAAAATAATTTACAACAAATTTTTTTTATTGTTTTGTTGTTGTTTTTTGTAATTAAAGAAAAGTCCTTATTTTTGATGGCGGGCATAATAACTCCTCACTGGAACATCGGAATCCGAAAATTCCAACGGCGTTAGAAAGAGTACATGTCTGGCTCTCGCTCTAAAATTAACAAAATGGTGTACCTTTGAAAATATATTTTTGGAAAATCGCCGATTTTTTACCAAAAACCAACTTAAAAAATAAAAAAGATCTTCACCGATTGACTTTATCCTAGTTCATACGAGAGCTATACACTCCCAGAGAAACGTTGCAAAATTTGGAATTGGATTATTAGTTTTTGAGTTATCGTGCCCGCCATTCGCAAAAAAATGTTTAGAGAAAAACGCGTTTAAAGTTTGAGAAGCCCTTCAGCCGTCACTTGATGCTGACACAATAAATCGGATATATCTTCAAGAGTTCTTGAGATTTTCACTTGAAATTTTAGAGACATTCTTTAATCAGTGTAGATTCGAATTATATCAACAAAAATTTTGACCCAGAGAACGGGGGGGTCCCCTTAAGTCAATATTGATGATTTTTGCTATGAAAATGAGAATTCAAAATACTAAATTACAGCCAATTGGGTAGAGAAATGTGCACAAAATCCTAAAAATTGGGTGTTCCGTCATCCCAAATAGTGGACGAAAATTTATCATTTTAGGTAGGAATATATGTTATACAATGCGAACACAAAATACCAAATTTGGTTGAAGATGAGCTAATATTTTCCAATTTTATCCTATGTTAGTGGAAGTCAAATTTAATTTGTAACACCGCGGAATGCCCATCTTTTAGTATACCAATCGTCATATATCCACTAGCTAGTGTATCTGTGTGTGTCCGTCTAACCATTATAATTTGTAAACACGTTACTGGCCACAGTTATGGACCAATCGTCACAAAATTTTGCATGTAGGATGGATGCTGGCCAAACGAGACCCCTATTGTATTTTGTAATGATAGGTTAATATTTAGGGCATTAAATGGACCAAAAACTTTACATTTGTCTGTTTTCAGGTCGATCTAGACCCCACAATTATAACCCGAACAACACGAAATTTTACACAGAAAAAGAGGTCTGACCATTGATTAATCATGCCATGATCAAGATTCGGAAAATATGCCACATAGGAGCTGTAGACCTCTAATATGCCACATAGGAGCTGTAGTCCTCAAGAGAAAGTAAATATGGCAATATATTACCCAGACTCTGAATATAGATCAGCTGAAACTTAGAGCTCAGTAGTAGTTGTATAGATTATTATGTTCCGCGCAGACAAAAGGAAACGGGACATACACATGGTTCCTTTTTGGGAATAAACATAGAATCACTCTGAGTCGATTTATGCATGTCCGTCCGTCCGTCCATCTGTCTGTCTGTCCATGCTAGATTGTAAACAAAGAACAGGTCGCATTTATGATCTGAATTGAATTAAATTTGGCACAGCTCATTTATTTATTGAAATTGGGAAACATCGGTTCAGATTTTAATAAAGCTCCCATATATATTTTCGTCCGATTTTATGTAAATGGGGCATCAAAGAACTTATATATCCTTCGATTTACATGAAATTTGGGATAGCATACTTGATTGAGACGATATGTGCCAATTATAGAGGAATAAGTCTCCTTCCTATCGCATATAAAGTGCTATCCTGTGTGCTGGGTGAACGATTGAAGCCAATGGTCAATGACATCATTGGACCATACCAATGCGGCTTCAGACCTGGCAAATCCACCATTGACCAGATTTTCACTCTGCGCCAAATCCTGGAAAAGACCCACGAGAAACACATCGACATATACCACATAGTTGTCGACTATAAAGCCGCATTTGACAGCCCTATCCGTTCAGAGGTGTTTAAAGCCATGTCTACGTTCGGCATTCCTGCAAAATTAATACGGCTATGCAGGATAACTTTAAGTGGCAAAAGATCAGGAGTTAAAGTAGGAAAGGACCTATGGGTCGAACATTGCGAGCGGTAACAGCCACCTTTGAACAAAAAGGAAAGGTGTCTGCCAAAGTGGGTCTGGCAGTAAACGGCGAGAATACCAAACTAATGGTATCAACGCGCAAGACGTCCAGTAGACTCGGACCAACTGTGGAACTTGAGAACTACAGCTTCGAGGTAGTTAAAGACTTTATATACCTTGGGACCGCCATAAACGAATGACATCAGTTTTGAAATTCGGAGAACCGATGCTAATATGGTCTGAGCAAACAACTCAAAAGCAAGGCCACCTCCCGCCAGACCAAACTCACACATTACAAGACGCTGATACTGTCCGTTCTATTATATGGATCATAAGCATGGGTACATGCGCAAGTAGATGAGGCAGCTCTTGGGGTGTTTGAAAGAAAAATTCTCCGAAAGATCTACGTCGACGGTGAATATCGGCGTCGAATGAACCACGAGCTCTACAATGTATACGCGGACATCGACATAGTCAGTCGTATTGAGCTGCAGCGACAACGGTGGCTAGGCCATGTTGTGTGGATGAATGAGAATGCCCCAGCTCAAAAGGCATATAAAAGCGAGCCTACTGATGAATCCCGTAGAAGGGGAAGGCCACGAATTAGATGGAAAGGCCAAGTAGAAAACAACATCTTGGAACGTGGTCTTCCAAACTGGTGGATTTGCGCACAAGACCGACGCGCTTGGAAATCTTTTTGTAAGCTCGGCTTGTGGAACAACCGTTCTGAAATAAGCCAGCTAAGTAAAGTAAGTAATATTTGATTGAGTCTAGAATAATGTGTTCTACATTTCGTAAAAATCGGTTCAGATTTAGATATAGCTCCAATATATATTTTCGTACGATATTATGTAAATTTTGCACCATAGTCCCTATATATCCTTCGATTTGCACGAAATTTGGCATATCTTTCTGAATTGAGTATAGAGTGATGGTTGGAAAAATTCGGAAAAATTGGTTCAGATTTCGATATAGCTGCCACATAACATATATATTCGTATATTCATAAAATTCCAAACTCATAATGTTTTTCCGATTAATACGAAATTTTTAACAACGTATCAAATTGAGACTTGAATGACGTTATTGCGTTTTGTTGAAATTGGTGCAATTGCACCAACTTCCATATGTATTTCGAACGGGTGTCTGTTTGAGATTAAATTTTTAGTACCGAATAGCTTGGATCAATTTTGCTATAAATCGTTTTCCATAAGTTTGTTCCATGGTATGCAGACGACTCTAAATCTGCATGAATGAAATTAAATTCATGCAGAAAGGCATGCGTATATTCTTTCAAGGGAACATTGACATGCTCTGACATAGTCGGCCCAGTCCGACTTAACTACTTTCCTTACTGGGTTTTAATTGTCCGAGAATTGGATTTTTTTTTTAATATTATTTTAAGATTTTCCGATTATCCTTGGTCCAAATAAATGAGCTATGCTAAATTTCATCCAAGTCGGGTCAAATCATAATCTGACTCGTTTCCTTTTGCATTTTACAAACAAGCGTAATATTCTATACCAAAGCGTGGTGAAGTTGGCTATTTAAAAAGGTAATATAGAGAAGCTTTTATTATTCGGGATTATGGTATTCTAAAGATACTCTGGTGAAAAAATGCGAACATGAATATAGGTTTATTAAGGGCTACGTCATAAAATTTAGCTACACTACCCTACAATAATCAGGAATACAAATTACAGACCTTTCGGTTGGAAACTGGTGCTAAAACCTTCAACATTTTTAAAATAATTCGATATCTTTATATTGGGGGACATGTCAAAATATGTACCTGTATTTAAAATATACTGCTAATGTATTTTTCAACTTCAAGACCACAAAGTTCTAAAGTTGAATCGCTTTAGTGGGAAAATGCGGATGAGGGCTTCAAGACACCGCAAATGGTGGTGAAAACATTGGCCAATGTTGAAATTTGTCTGCAGAGATTTTTCATCGCCCTCCACAACCATAAAATGCCAAATTACAACCACGTAGGTTGAAATACACGAACAAAATCTACTACAGTATATGGTTATGTTGGGCATATTTTTCAACTGAATTGTCTGCAATTTTCAAATTTGGGTACTCATTGTGTAAAAAAAATCTTCCTACTAAAAATGATCAATGTTGACCCAAGTTTCATGGTAGCCCTCATTATTCCGCAGTTTTGAGATTTTGGACTTTTTTAACCGAATTTCCTTACATTGATATTTTGGGTTGTCATTGGGAGTCAACAAAAACTATCGTTATCGTTTTCCGTTGTGGTTTAGTCTCCATATCTGAAAAATTCTTGTAGAAATGTTCAAAATATATTTGCGCTATGTTTTCAAATTCTCTTGGCTGTTCGTCAACCACAACAGGGGATTCCACAAGCAATTCACTAATGAATGTTTTGACTGGATATGTGTATATGCATATATTATTTATTTAATATATTTTATTTACTTAATTGTTTTCCACTGTTTGAACAATTGTTAAATAAATTATCGTTTTATATTACCGCCAAAATGTTCCCTCCACCCCTCCCCCCATAGACAAACACACATTTTGTTAAAAAAAAAAATCAAGAAAAGAAGTCATACTTTTGGAAAATACAAATTCTCTACAAAAAAATAAGTCGTAATTACATTTCAGTGTTTCGCTAGACAGGTGCAAGATTAATTACCCTTACGTTGAAAAGAAAAAAATCTAAATATTTCGAAAATTTAGAAAACATTGGTACGTCTATGATATTAGTTGACAAAGGGTCTGCATCGAATCAAGTCAGAATGTCGTGTCTTTGTATAACAATTTCGGTGATTTTAAGTATTCTTGCGGTAATAATTGTAATAACTGTACCGGTTTTACTAACAATGCGTTCCCATTCGAAATCCTCAAATGTATCAGATAATTTTGTAAATGTCAACGCAATAAAACAGGACATTAGGAAATCAGAATTTCTCAACAGTTTGGATGTATTTGGTGATAAACTTTTCCAAGAATTGGTAGCGGAAAATCCTGGAAAAAGCATATTCTTTTCACCATTCTCCATACAAACATGTCTCACAATGACCCGCATGGGAACTGTGGGTCAAATATCTCAGGAAATGGATACCTGCTTAAATATCACAGGCAAGTCGCTGGATAGTGTTGCCCATAAATATCACGAACTCTTGCAAAAATACGAAAACAATTCCTTGCTGAAGGTAGCCAACAAAATTTATGTCATGGAAAATCATAACGTAAAAGAGGACTACAATAAAACATTGGTCCAGAGTTTCTTCGCCACCGTGGAAAATATAGATTTTTCCAAAAGTGATGATGCAGCCTCTGCCATAAACAAATGGGTGGAGCATAGCACCGATGGTACAATCCAAAATCTTGTATCATCAACCACACTAAAT